GTGGTGTTTTTGGTTTTTGTTTTATTAAAGTACATTTTTAAAACATGCGCGAGTGTTGCTACATTGACTATCTTATAGCCTGCTGCTACAAGGGAGTATTGCTACATCGACTATCTTATAGCCTGACTCACACTGAAGTGTTTCTACATTGACTATCTTGTAGTTTGACTCGTAACGGAGTGTTGCTACATCAACTATTTTATAGCCTGACTCACAACGAAGTGCTGTTACATTGACTGAGGGTTTGGTTTGGGCAGGCAGTCTATCATTTAAGAAAAGGAAAAAAATATTTCAGTTTTTAAACCTTTTCTGGTCTGGTTTATTAGCGCTCTCTTTAAAACTACAATTTATGGGAAAAACTTTTTGACTACCATGCAAAACAATATATATATGTGTATATATATATATATATATATATATATATATATATTATATATATATATATATATATATATATATATTTATATATATATATATATATATATATATATATATATATATATATATATATATATATATATATATATATAACCCTCAGAATTATTATAAAAAAACTAAAAAAACTATTTGATACAAAGGTCTAAACATAAAGCATAGAAACGAGGTCAGCAATTTTTTTGCCAACCTCAAACACTTTCAGGTGGGCAGTTAGGTCAGCATTGCCGAATGCCGACCTTAATTCTGAGGGTTTTATATATTATATATTTATACACATATATGAGGCTTTCACGGGAAGATGTGCGATTTCACATCTTTATATGACCACGCAAATTACATTTTGCTATGACAATTTGACCTCGGCTAATTCAAAAAACATTTTAAAAAAGCGCTAAATGAAAAATATTCTAAGGGGGTCATTACATGAGGTGAATACAACCCGGGATGAAAATTCAGCTCGGTGCCGGGTTGAAAATTGTTTACTATTACATAGACATTTTCATCCCGCTGCATCTTTTAGTCTTCAAATTTCAACTTGGCCGGGTTGAAATTTTTTTATGTAAAATGTCTATTTGTGAAAGTAATAAGATTTTACAATTAGTGTTATTTATAATTCAACAGTGCAGTCTACTTACAGCACTTATATTGCAACTTAATGGTTTAGTAATTACAAACAAACTATTAGAAAGCAAACGAAATATTGCCCTTGGTGCTTATTTATGCATACGAAAAAATAACTTGTTCAAAGTTGTTCAAATAATGAAGAAGTCATATTTAACAGCATGTTACGCTCTGCTAGGAACCAGATTAAATGTGCTTTTGGCAGATTAAAAGCAAGGTGGGGATTTTTAAGAAAAATAGTTGATATAAAAATAGAAACAGTTCCTATTGTTATTTATACTTGTTTTGTTCTTCATAACTTTTGTGAAAAAAACAAAACCTATGACCTAAATGAAGAGGAGGTTAATCAGCAAATTGAAAGACATCAAAGTGATGCATTGGAAAGCCCAAACCTCCCTGAAAGTATTTACTCTGCTAATAATCCTGAAGGTAAATATATATGCAAAACTATAACAAAATATATATCAGAAAATTTATTCAGGGACTAAAAATACAAAAAGCTTATAAATAAAAAAACTAAGGAAAATGTGAAATCCTTTTTTGTGGTTAAATTATTGTATTTTGCTAAATTATTGTAATTGTTGCGTTTCATTACAAACTTGTTATAATTATTAGTAAGAAAATAATTCAAATTTAACAACAAAACAAATGAAGTTTTACAAGAAAAAAAATACTCATAAGCAATAAAAACCAGTCCATTATATTGCAATCATTAAAGTTACTATAAAATGTACTAATTTTATTATACACCTTAATTATTGTTGATTAGTTTTCATTCCCTGAATTAATAATTCCATCAATCTAGAAAGTCCCTGGTAACCTGTAAAATAGATTCTGACATTCGCTCAATTGATGCTGAGAATGTTTCATTAGAGTGTCTTATGGCTTCAACGATATCTCTTTTAAATTGAGCATCTTCTTTTGCTTCATTCAACAAAATTTGATCTCTTTGTGATGCACTCAATTGTCTCTGCATCGCTTATTGTCAATAAATTTTGGAACAATTTCATTATTGCCATTTTTACGTTTCTTTTTTTTAGTTGAGATATCACTATCAACAGATGAAGTTTCTGGGCTCTGTAATAATAAAGAAAAATTAACTACACTATTGTCCTCAATACTGCATGAACTTGAACATAGATTTACATTATCTGTATTTTTAACTGTGGTGTCTTCAGTGCTACATATTAAATTTTCTACACTTTTGTTATTATCCATAATTTCCTTATTAACATCATACGTTGATTTCCCAAAAAATAACGATTCTATAGATGGAGATCCACCCCATATTTGAACTAGATGATCATAAAATTCAAGTACTATTTTTCCACTTCCACTCCTTCGACCTGATGTTACAGCTAATGAAAAATTCTGACAAATTTCTTTGATTTTTTCTTGAACTCTAGTATAACCTCTTTTAATAAGAGTTATATCAATTTTATTTTGTTTGGATAAGATACTGTCATTAAGACAAACAGACCCAAACCAACTTGGCTCATGACAGTAAATGTTAGCTAGAGCTTTTCTACAACTTTCGTACTGATCTGATTTTTCAGCATTAAAATCCTTGTTATTATATTCTATTTGAGATTTAAAATTTGATAAACTCTGTATTAAATTTGAAATTTTGTTGTCCTATAAAGACGCGAAATTGCACACCTTTCTGTGAAAGCCTGATATAATATATATATATATATATATATATATATATATATATATATATATATATATATATATATATATATATATATATATATATATATATATATATATATATATATATATATATATATATATATATATATATATATATATATATATATATATATATATTAAGGTGTCCCAAAAACCAACATTTTTAAAAATAATTTGCTCTCACCCCCTAAATGTGTTCTGGCTAATACAAAAACACTACGTTTAAATTTTTTTTGAATAAAAAATATTTTAAGGGGTCCCTCAAGACCCTCAAATATTTAATGGGTCCCTAATATTTTCGAAAAAAAGTTTTTCAAAAATATGTCAACGTGGTACTCAAATGAAGCGAAATTATATAAATATTTCAAAAATAATATTCATTTCAGTTGAGTGCATATAAATGAATAAAAAAAAGATCTTTGTATTATCATGCATAATATTGTATACTTAAAAGAGTGCTCAATAGATAAACTAGAGCTATTCAGTGTATATGTTACTGTTACCCGCAGTACCAGGAATCAGCTAAATGCTAAGTTTATAATATAGTTTAATATTGCAACTCTAAGTTTCATGTGTTACTTTAAACTACATTTCATTCAAAATATTAATATTCATTATTAAGTATGGTAATATTTATAATTCACTAAATTTATAATATAATTCACTAAATTTTGTCATTATTTCAATAATGGTAATATTGTAATATGTTGAATTTAACAACAAAAAAAGCAACATGACAACAACAAAGCCTTGAAACCATTATATTTATGTAACAAAGATAATTGTCTTAAAGCCATCAAGTAAACAGAGATTATATAAATGCACAAAATCAAACATTTTAATACAATTTTACAAAAATATGAAACCTTGTACAAGAATAGGTGCAATTTGTAATGTGAATGATTCACTGATTATTGCTTTCCATTTATTCTCTACTTCATCAAAAATATTGGTTGAGGAATTATTGTTACAATAACTTTTACTAGTTACAGCAAATGAAGCTTTGTCATTAATTAAACCTTAAAGAAAAAACGAATCTAAAAGTATAAGACAATTATTTATAAAAAATTTATTTATTTATTAAAAAAAAAACACTTAATTAATACTTTTAAAAAAATGTGTGCTTGTTTAAAAATATTTTTAAAACAGTTATATTCTCCTGTTAAAAGCAATAATAATTGAAAAATGAAAAGGTTTTTTTTTCGAAAAAAGTTTTGTCAAATTTGAAAAAAGTTTTGTCAAATTTGAAAAAAGTTTGTCAAATTTGAAAAAACTTCTATAAAATTTAATACTAACACACATTTAGCTTTTAACTCTATGAATTTATTATAGTATACTTCAGGGTCGGAGTCACTAAACAAAGTCGTGACTCTGACTCCAATAGTAAAAGTTTTCAGTATTGCACATGCATGTACAAAACATTCAATTAATCTTATTTTCATACTAAACCTCAAAGAACGTTTCATAAGTTTGTCAAAAAAAAAATTTTTTTAATTTATCGCATAATATTTTTTAAAGAATTCAATAAATTTTTCAAAAATTTTGCTATGGAGATGGAGTCGGAGTCAGAGTTGGAGTCAGAGTTGTGCTCAAAAAATTTCAACAACTGGAATCAGAGTCGGAGTTGTAATCAAAATAATTCAACAACTGGAGTCGGAGTCGTTACTTTTTTTTTACGACTCCACACCCCTGGTATAGTTAGAAGGTTGATATCAAACACAATAATAGACAGTTAAAAAATAAAACAGAAATATATAAAATAAACTTTATTTTTAAACTTTTCTTTTAAAATAATTTAAATATGTTTGATATAGACTGATAGACTGAAGATATTAAAAAGAATTTGGATGCTTTGGTAAATTAGTATAAATTACTATTACAAAAAGGTAAAGGTGTTTTGTGTATTATTTTTATTATATTTTTATGGATTATAGCAACAACAAAAAATTATGCTGATCTATATTTCTGTTATTTATTTAAATTATTAATAAAAAATATTACTTTATTTATTTATAAATAATAGACAATTTTATAATTTTATAACTTGATGACCTCTTATAATAATAAGATGTCCTAGTAAAACATTTTTTTTTAAACAGCTATATGTACTGTGGCAGTCCTCCTTATTGGGTCTCAGCACACTATAAAAATGCCTGGAATCTAAGATATTGTTTTGCTGAAATAGGTGCTTTAAAAAAAATTTCAATAAAAGTTGCAAATAAGTCAAAAGTTGCAATAAGATACTTTAACATGGAATTTCTGGCAATCCAAGCACATCATCAAACACTTACATGGAATTTCTCTACATCAAGCACTGACAATCCAAAGTCTTTTCCAAGCAAAACGCTTAATTGAGACAAATTTACATAATTCATTATAATAAATATATAAAATATAAAATTCATTTTTAATTATATAATATAAAATTCAATTTTATATTATATATGAGTTTGAGCAAAATTAAAAAAAGTAGTTATAACATTTTAAAAAGAATGTTTTACTTTATCAAATGTATTTTTAAAAATAATTTAATATTAGAAAGTGAATTTAAAATTTATTGCTTTAATAGGAAGACATAAGATTAAGTAAGAAAAAGCTTTATCTTTTCATGATGATATTTTTATAAGAAACTGATTATTTAAGAAACCAATCAGTTAATTTGTTGGCGCTCTTTTTTATTAATTAATTTATTTATTTATTTTTAGAATATTATAAATTAACCGAACAGATCATAGCTAATTGTGCTGATACAACTGTTCCGAACTCTGGAAAACATAATGGTGTAATTAGAAATATTTTAATTTATAATCTTTATATCTGATTCTTTAGCTACTGTTCAGGTATAATGAATACTTTACAAATTTCAGTCAGTGATTTGAAAAGTTGATTTAAAATCTGTGTCAAAGTTACTAATGACAGAAAACAAAAATATAATTTAAGCACAATTTAAAGGAACTGCATGTTTCTCAAGTCATGCTAGACCAAGGAACCAAGGGACTCAGTCAACCTATTCACAAAAAAATATCAAGATTTTTGATATAAGATTGAAAGTGGTAATATATGGTAAAAGTGGTAAAAATACATTAACATTGAAAAATTGGATTGGACTTAAATTTACTCTTGGAACCCTCTTTTACAATATTACATACAAACAAGAAAGTTCTGTAGAACATCTCTTAAAACAAATATGTTTGCTTGGGAGCAGATTTGCCAAACTTTAAGTTTCTACAACTTGATGCACACTATGAAGCAGGGTTCTATTTAATGATCTTAGAGCATTAAAAAAAATCATCACATACAATGATAGATCCAATTATCTTTGCTTTATTGGTGCTTAGAAGAAGAAAAGAGAGAAAAGATTAGTCTCAAAAAAAAATCACTAACATTATGCAAATGTTTTTGTAACAAACACATCAATAAGAAGATCACCTAAACCCTGATGGAAACCTAGTTTTAATAAAAAATTCAGCAATCATGTTTTTTAACAAAACTAGACTTAGGAAACTAAATTCTAGATTAATGTGATTATACTAAAATATATTTGATCTTTGTTATAAATTCAAATTATTGCTATTAAATTTAAATCACTTTTTATACATTTTTTAAATTCTTTTTTATTTTAAGTTAATTAATTAATCTAGTTTTTTTAATTACAAACTTATATTATATTTTTATAGTATGTTTATAGGAATTGTTATATATAAATAAGGAGTTGTTCATAAATAACATCTGCAACTTTTTTCATCCATTCCCCTCTCCCCTCTGTGTCTAAAGGTAGTAACTCTATAGTAACAAGTCAAGTACAAATTGTCACAAAACCACTAACCATGACACAATTTATGGACAACCCCTTTTATATTTACAGCCATTAAATGACCATTAAGTTACCAATCAATAAAGTGACACCTAAAAACAATCAAACAATTTAATATATCTTAGTATTAAAATATATATATATATATATATATAAAAATACAACTTCAAATAACTTTATTGTAAAATTTACTTTTTAAATTTAAAAATAATTTTATTACTTAAATTCACAGTAATTATACATTCATTTTAAATGAAAGAAAATGAATGAAATTTTTAAAAATGTTTGAAAATGGTTTGTTACCATAAAAATTATCAGTAAAAATGTATCAGGATAAAACAAAGAAACGAAAACAATAAAAAGACAAATAAACAAAAAAGAAAATAAGTTTGATGTAAAATTAATTAACTTTGTAAATTGAAATGTTATAGTTTTTTGTAAAAATAAACTAACTGAATAAATTTACTCACCAATTAAGAACTCCCTTAATTTGCTATCACAACTACATATTTTTTTCATCATCATTGAATGAAATGATTGATCAAGCATTTTTGCAAGTACTTCAAGTTTATTTTTCTTATACTGAAAGACAAGGTAGTTAATGTTATTAAAGCTTTATTTTTAACTAAGAAAAAATTTAAAAGATTGTAAGAATTTGTCTGAAAAGTTACTTTTTATTAGGTCTTTTAAAAATAGAAGTACCTAAATCTTCTAATCTATAAATACCACTCTTTATATATATATATATATATATATATATATATATATATATATATATATATATATATATATATAATATATATATATATATATATATATATATATATATATATATATATATATATATATATATATATACTAGGGCTGTTCAGTATGCTAATTTGTTTTCAGAACATAGCTAATTAAAGTTTTTCCCATTCAACTATCATATTGTGGTTCAAAAATATTTTTTACTAAATTTTTTTATTTGCCCTAAAGGTCCCTCAAAGCCCCCAAACATTTCACAGGTCCTTAATATTATAAAAAAAAATTATTTAAAAATATATCAACTTGGTACTCAAAAGAAGCAAAACTTTATAAAAACTTTAATAATTAGATTCATTTTTTATAAAAAACAACTTAAAAAAACTTATTATTAAAAATGTTGTGAATATTACCTTTTTTCATTTTTCGTTTAAAAACCATAGTTTTTATTCAAAAAAACCTAAAACTGTTTTTTTTATAAAAAACATTTTTTGTTTTTGAAATTTTTAAATAATTTTGCTTCTTTCGAGTACCAGGTTGACATATTTTTAAATAATTTTTTTTTTAATAATATTAGGGACCTGTCAAATGTTTGGGGGCTTTGAGGGACTTTCAGGGCAAATAATAAAACTTAGTAAAAAATATTTTCAAACCACAATATGATAGTCGAATGGAAAAAATTTAAATTAGCTATGTTCTCAAAATAAATTAGCATACTGAACAGCCCTAATATATATATATATATATATATATATATATATATATATATATATATATATATATATATATATATATATATATATATATATATATTTATTATATATATATATATATATAATATTTATATAAATATACATATATATAATATTTATATAAATATACATATATGTATATATATATTTAAATATATATATATATATATAAAAATATATATATATATGTATATATATATATATATACATATATATATATATATATAAATATATATATATATATATATATATATATATATATACATATATATATATATATTTATATATATATATATATATATATATATATATATATATATATATATATATATATATATATATATATATAATACACACTAAGGAAAAATCCGCTATATACAACAAATTGTATCTGTCGCTATTGCACTATTGGGAAATCTGTTAAGGTAACAAATTAAAATTTTAACGAATTGAACTCCGTTGAATTTACGGATTTATTTCGTTAGTGCAACGAATAATCCGTTAAAATTAAGGAGTTATCACACTAGGCAGCAAATTTTCCGCGGTTGTTATACCTATGAAATAAATGTGTTAATAAGTTATTTTAGTGATTATTTTGTTAAAATCACTAAAATCTAAAATTAGAGAGGCCAGAATTGTGACTTCATAACCAAATAATCCTTATATTTGTTAATGTTTGCATTTTTATTTAATTGTATTATTTTATTTTGATACTCTACATTAAAACGTTTTAACCAAAAATTGAAAACTAATCAAATATTTATAATATTTAATCTAATATACTTTAAATTACAATAAAAATAGTTAAAAAAAAAATATTTTTTATACACTATACTCAAGCTAGTACAAGCTAGTATTTATATAAAACACACACATATATATAATAGATGTTTAAAATAAATCAATGCCAAGATATTAGTTTTTGGTCGCTAGTTTTGGTTTCTTTGGTTTTAATAGGTTTTGGTTTTGAATACTGTTGTTACTCGTACACAGGTTCGCACTTTAAATCAGACACCATGCTGTCAACTCCTTAAAAATTAATATAATATAAAATAAGGAAAATATGGAAACTTAACAACATACCTAGTATAAAACCAAAATAAAATGTTATTGATAACACTATAGAAAATGTTTTTGGTAACTCATTACATATAAATTTCTATTCTAAATTTTGTTATTTTAATTATCTCTGATATCGTTTTCTAAAGATAAAGTTAAAAACGAACAAGTAAATTATATCTTTATTAAAATGTAAATTAAAAAAAAAGTATAAGATTACCTTGACATTATCTGATAACTGAAAGACTCTATACATTTCACAAACATCAATACCTATCAGGAGTAAAAAATAAGGTCTCTAACCTTTTAAAAACTTTGATAAATCAAAACAAGATTAAATATGCAGACCAAAAAAAACACAAGCAACTATATAAAAAAATTAATTTTACAACTTATTTAAACTTACAGTGTCATACCACTTGTCACATGTTTAAAATAGCTAATTCTAAAATAACATTGAATATAGAATATAGTATAATAATAGTTAAAAAAGTGTGATATAAACTTAGTCTTAACTAAATTAAATAAATATGCATGCGAAAAGAAATGCAAGTTAAAATGCAATATTTTTAAATTTACTAATTCAAACTTACAGTAAGATATCACAAGCCACGTGTCTAAAACAGCAAATTCTAAAATAATATAAACACGCCAGATATAAACTTATTATTATTATTATTAATAGTTGAAACTTAATTAAATAAATATGCACGCCAATAGAAATGCAAGTTACAATATAAATTTTACAACCAATTTAAACTTACAGTATGACAACTTATACTAAGTGTCTAAAATAGCAAATTCTGAAATAATATAAACAAGCCATACACAAACTTAGTTGTAATCTAATTATATAAACATGAACGTCAAAAGAAATGCAAGTTTAAATATAATTTTTTTTAAATTTACTAATTCAAACTTACAGTGGGAAACCACATGCCACGTGTCTAAAACAGTAAATTCTAAAATAATACAAACACATCAAATATAAACTTTGATTAAACTTAACTAAATAAATATGCAAGTTTCAATATAAATTCTACAACCAATTTAATCCTACAATGTGACACTAAATGCAGTGCCTCTAAAGCAGCAAATTCTAAGATAGTATAAATAACTCATATATAACCTTAGTTGTAACTCAATTAAATAAACATGAATGTTAAAAGAAATAGAAGTTCCAATATAAATTTTTTAATTTTACAACTAATTATACCTTACAGTGGGATAGCAAATGCCATGTGTCTAAAACAAAAAATTCTAAAATAATATAAACACACTAGTATAAAATTAGTTTATGATATTGGATGCCACATGTTTAATTTGGAAATTAATAAAAATTGCAATTTATAAAAGCATATTAACTAGCCATTTAAATTTAGCTGTAACTAACCTAAATAAATATACCTATCAAAGATGTTAACATTTTTAATTTTACAACTGATTTAAACTAATATGGTATGTTACTACATGTCATATGTCTAAAATATAAAGTTAAAAAAGACTATAAATAATCCATTTAGTCTGTATTATAGAAATAATTGTTCAACTAACCCTTTACTACTAGTAAAGAATTAGTTAAACTTTTATTTTTATATTATAGACTATATGGATTGCATATATTTTTGCATAATTTTCTAGATTTAGAGATGTAGTAACTTACCATATATGATATGTATTAACTTACCATATATGTTATTATATATTATTTAGTAATACTAATGGCTTTTAATTTAAAACAAAATAAACCTTATTGTTAAATTTTCTATATAAAGATTTATATAGAAAATTTAAAATAATCTAAATAACCTTCGAAGTTACAAATAACAGAGCGTAATTTAAATTATATTTATCCATTTGCTTTGTCTACTAAATGTAAAGCTTTTTAAAAAATGGCATATTACACTTACTGCAACCAACTTTTATCTACGATGTAAATGTAAATGTGAGAAAAACGCATTCAAAACTTTATAATTTACAAAATAAAAAGCTATAATATACTGAAAATTTTTTTTGACCGATTAGAATATTTAATCCGTTGAATTAAAGAAATTTCAAAGAACCCATAAATAGTTAATTTTTACTCAGTTAATTTTCTGGTTTTTGGTAACGAATTAATCCGTTAATTTAACGAAAAAGCGCAATCCGTTACTTTTTTTAACGGACTGTTTTTAGAGTGTATATATATATATATATATATATATATATATATATATATATATATATATATATATATATATATATATATATATATATATATATATATATATATATATATATATATATATATATATATATATATATATACAGCAAGCATATCAATCTTAGGCCAATGTTATATACAACATTGGCCCAATATCGTGTATGTATCATTGGGTCAATATTGTATAAAACCTTAGGCAAATGTTATTATAAAATAACTATATACTGAATTTCAACATAAAATGTTGTATATCAGCCTAACAATTTATGCAACATAGAAAGTTGTTACAAATAGATAATTTGCATTGCTACAATTAAATTATAAAGAAAAACAAATATGATAGTGTATAAAAATTTATTTATTTAATTTACATAATTTCTGTGTTAAATATAAATATTGCAAAAAGCAAACATAAACCAAAAACTAAAACATTGAGTTTTAAATAAAAAAACTCTCTATAAAATTTATTAAGTAGTTTCATTATTGGCTGTTATTGAATCGTGTTTAGCTATATTTGGTGCCCACAACTATCATCTATTCTTCCACCATCTCTATCATATGCCTGCATAAGCCATGCTAATTTGATTTTACAGTGTCTGCAAAAAAAGTAGTTATTTGTTTAACTATGCACCAAAGAAACATAACAAAAAGTGATAGTGTAATGCAAAATTGAAACTGAAATAATAAACTTTTCTAAACCACTTACCAATAGCAACATATGCAATCAACATTTTTCCTATTCCAATTTGGTGTTCTCTCCCTGCATAGTTTAATTTTACAGCTAGGCCATTTTTAAAAATTATTCTTAATAAATAACAAATACTATCTCCTTCATCTTTAACTTTAATTTGTCTCAAATAATTAACCTGCAAAAATATACAACCTGGCAATAATAAAAGTTACTTTTGGTTAGACTTAAATTAATATATATATATATTTTTTTTAATTATCTTCGCTTCCAACAAGGTTGCAAGCAACCACTAATTAGTGTTGGAAGTTACTGGAAGAGAAAAGATGAAGATTGTAGAGCAAGATAACGATTGACAGACGACTTAAAATATTGCAAATTATATGAATCAGGAAAGCAATATGAAGGAAGCGAATTCCAAAGAACTGATGTTGGAGGAAAAAAACTAGACGAATAAGAGTTTTTGGAGCACTTAGAAACAGTAACAGAAAAAGGATGAGACTTAATTGAATGACGCGGAACACGAGAATGAATTTTTGTAGATGGCACAAGAGATGCTAGCTCTTTAGAGCAGTGCCCATTATAGTATTTGTAGAAAAGAGAAAGAGAAGCAACATTACGACAATGTGACAGAGGTTGAAGGTTGGCTGCAAGAGCAGGTCCAACTATGTTTACAATGCGTTTTTGCACCTTGTCTAAAAGAGAAAGGGCATCATTAGAAGATCCGCCCCAGATATGGCAACAGTATTCCATACAAGGCCGGATTTGAGATTTATAGAGATAGAGAATAGAATCCAGAGTAAAAAAGTGACGAGCTCGATAAAGAGAAGCAACTTTAGCAGATGCTAATTTTGCAACGGATTTGATATATGGTTTCCAAGAAAGATCAGAAGTAAGAGTTAATCCTAGAAGATGAAGGGTAGGAGACTCATCAAGTACATTACTGTTCATAAATATAGGAAGGTCTAAATTATTGCGATAACGATTAGCTGAAAAAAATTGAGTTTTATCTGAATTAAAGTTCACCAGCCGCTGCAAGCCCCATGCTGTAGCATAAGTGAGATCCTTTTCGAGCTCAGATGCCCCCTGCAAGCAATCAGAGGGAGTTGGCTTCTTATCGTGACAAGAATAAATGGTAGTATCATCAGCGAACAATGCCACCTTAGATGTGAGAATATCTGGAAGATCGTTAATATAAAATCTCATTTACAAAAAACCTTCAAAGAGTATTTTGTTTAAAGTATATAAATTGTACAAAGATATCATACAAAATGCATAAACGGATCATAAAAAAATATTTACCATTTGCTTAAGTATTTTCTTGTCTTATTTTTTCTTCTAGAGTACTTAAATTCGCTTTTAGTGGCAATGACACTCTGTCAGGCAAATCATTAATTGGCATATCTTTGTTACTCTTTCTAATTAAGCTTAAAATCAAATTTGATGTGTTTTGTAGTTCACCAAGTTGCACTTCAATACTTGCCCATCGTGCCAATAATACCTGTATATCTTTAGAAAATTCAATTTTATCTTGAAGCAATAAAGTTAATAATATTCTTCAGAAACTATACAACAAATTGCATACAACGTTTAGAATTTATGAAAGTAAATACAATAATCACTAATAAAGCAAACAAAATTAAAGACAGAGGGGAAATATTTTTATGAATTATGGAATTTGCTGATATGCATTAAATTTCTGGCACTGACACAGAACAATTCTTGTTAACATTCAAGATAAAGATTGCACTGTAAAACAAAAAAATTCATATTAAAAAAAATTTTCTCTAATGTTTGTAAATAATGCTATTTTAATATTTTTATTCTGAATGTTAATAATACAACTTTTAAAAATATTGTAAAACCTTAACTTAATATAATATAAATCTTAATAAACGTTTATATAATGAATAAGAGTGAACCATCGGCAACTGTTAAAACTTAAAACTCATATGAATACTATGTTTTCTTTTCCAAAGAGTAGGTTTCAAATAGATTTCAAAGTTGTTGTAAGCTTTGATATGTTGAATATTGCACAATAAATGATAATTAACACTCTGAATTTTTGACTAAAATATATGAAAAAGTTAAAGCTATAAATAAAGATTTCCAATCATCAGAAAAAAAGAATTTTGAATTAAAACCATTTAAGTTTAGAGTTACAGGTAAATCCCAAAGTTTAATAATATTTTTCGTATTATTATATGAATCTGAAGAATCATATCCACCAAGATAAAACTTTTTTTCTCTTCGATCTTTATTTTAGCTGATCATTTTCGCTATCTTCCTTTTTTGTCTCCAGAACAGGTGTAGCATTTTGCAAGTTCTATCGTGCATTGCTATTAAATCATATCTATAAATCATTTCACTAATAATTAAGCTATAGCTAAAGTTAATATATAAGCTTAAAGTTGTTTACTGTTGCACGCAAACTAAATATGAACGATATCCAATAAAATCAATTAAAAACTAATAAAACCAAGAATAATGTCCCTTTGCCTCAGAAAGATGATTAAATACAGATAAGAACATCAGAAAGATATACAGGATTGTTTTAATTTAAATCAATTGACTTTAATCAGTCTGAATCAAACTGATTTAAATCATGATTTAAATTGGATGAATAAATAGTTCAATCAATTAAAATAGACTATAAATTGATCTTAATAAAATGTCTTATTAAAAGAAAACTCTGCATATACAGAATTTAGATTCTATTAACATCAATGTTAATATATTAGCAGATAGGGTTTCACAATCAAACATAGAAAAACTAAAAATAAAATAAACATATTTAAAAGGTAAAACAGTGCATATATAAAAATGTAAATGTAAACAGTAGTCATATATCAATTTTTATACTAATGACACTAGTGATGTACAATTTACAAGTATTATTAATAGAATATTTTTAAAGATTGCACTGTAAAACAAAAAAATTCATATTAAAAAAACTTTTCTCTAATGTTTGTAAATAATGCTATTTTAATATTTTTATTCTGAATGTTAATAATACAACTTTTAAAAATATTGTAAAACCTTAACTTAATATAATATAAATCTTAATAAACGTTTATATAATGAATAAGAGTGAACCATCGGCAACTGTTAAAACTTAAAACTCATATGAATACTATGTTTTCTTTTCCAAAGAGTAGGTTTCAAATAGATTTCAAAGTTGTTGTAAGCTTTGATATGTTGAATATTGCACAATAAATATTAAATTATTTCAAAATAAATTTATGAAACTTTTTTGATCTTACAGATCTTACAGTTATTTCTTTTTTTTTTAATACCTTTTTTTTTAATAATTGTATAACATTACTGAAGACATATTAAATATCTTCTTTATTAAATAAATCAAACATTTAAATTGTCAATACAGTCCCAAGTATTAAAAAAAAAAAAAAACTGTTAATAATTTTTTTGTAAAAAAATTATGAACAGCAAAAAAATTATTAGATTATTGCATTTAATTTTACATTGATAATTTAGATTGTAGCAAAATGTTATAAGCACATTATTTAAATGTTAATTAATATTTTATTATTTAAAAAAAATAAAAACAAAAAGTCACAAGAACCTTTTGAAGTTGACTTCTTACCTTGTAAGATTCTTATAAGATTAATAAAAATAGCTTATTTTGTTAATTTTTATAATTTAAAAAAATGGAAAATGTATCAAAAGATGTAACTTTATTTTATTTTGTAAAATGATACTATTTTTTAAAAATGTTATGCAACAAGTTTTAAAAAATATATCAATAAAATGATCCGCAACTACATTGGCCAAATATTGGCTCAAAAACGGTACGGCATTGGCGTAAGAACAGATTTTTATAGAAAAATATTGAGCCAATACTACATTGGCCAAATATTGGCCCAACATAGTACAATATTTGCGAAAAACTGATTTGCAGAATTGAAATATTACGCTGAAAAAAAACATTGGCTAAATGTTGGCCCGACAAAATAAATTTGCCAATGTTAAAACTTACGTTGGGCCAATGTAAGCTTCTTGTCTGGGTATATATACATACATGTGTAATTAAAAGAAGAAAACTGCTCCTTTGCAGTTTAGGGATACTTTAGTTTTATTAATTAAAATTAATGTATGTAGCCTTTAATGCTTCAATGCAGAGCATTAAATTTGAATTTGAAACAAGTTGAGTTTGTAAAAATACACTCAGATTTGACACCAAATTAGTGAGATGGCATGAATAGTATTCATATATTTAACATTATTTGAGCATTTATATATATATATATATATATATATATATATATATATATATATATATATATATATATATATATATATATATATATATATATATATATATATATATATATATATATATATATATATATATATATATATATATATATATATTGATATATATATATATATATATATATATTGATATATATATATATATATATATATATATATATATATATATATATATATATATATATATATATATATATATATATATATTGATATATATTGATATATATATATATATATGAAGGTAATCTTATAAGAAAATATAAAAAGATAAAAAACCTGTTCACCTTTTTAAAATTATTTTTCATTTTCTAAAAAACCTGATATTTGAGTAATAATTTAGAACAATTAAAAACTTTATAAATAATAATTTCCAAAAGCGGAAAATATTTAAGTAATAATAAACATTAAAAATAATTTTCTTTAATGTTTTCTTCATTTTTGTAGGTCATTAACATTACCAAAAAAAAAAGGAAAGAATGGAGTCTTTTAATATATTTTAATATATTTCAACGTGTTTAATAATCTGAATCAACCAATTTAAATTTAAAATCAATTTCTCTTCCATTTTCAACAATTCAATAAAATTAGAGAACCTTTTATCAAACATTTTTGTTGCATCTGATAGAATTTCAGAAGAAACTTCGTTATCAGTAATATCAAAAGTATTAAATGTGATATTTGAGTAATAATTTATAATAATTAAAAATAAAAATATTGTAATAAAAATTAAATAATACTATTAATTTTATATACTTTATATTTCCAAAAGTAAAAAATATTTAAAAAATAATAAATATTCAAAATAATTTTCTTCTTTTTCTTCAATTTTGAGGAATGTTACAAAAAATAAGGTAATTATGGAATCTTTCCAGTTACTATAATTAAGGTTCAATGTGTTCAATAATCTGAATCAACCATATTAAATTTAAAATCAACTTCTCTTCTATTCTCAAAGATTCAATAAACTGGGAGAACTTTTTATCTAACATTTCTGTTGCATCTGATAAAATTTCAGTAGAACGTTCCTTTTCAAAAGATTTACTATTAATATCAAAAGTATTAACATTGCCTAAAACTAGATTATTAAAAAAATCAGTTGTCCTTATAACTTCTCCAGGTGATTCATGACGTAAACTGATAATGCGTTTTAAAGGAACACATTTGATTGCAGTTTTGTAATAATTATTTGCACAGTAATTTTTTAACACTAGGATTGATTTCCAGTAAGATAAATCTGAGGGAGGGTCATAAAACATCGATGCACATCTGGGTGAATCACAATCTTTCAGATAAAGTTCATGGATTTCATTGCCAAAATTACATCTGCTTAAAATAGATACAGGCTTCTGAATAACGTTATTTTCAAATTTATAAATAAACTGAGTACAAATATTTTCTATAAACGAAACTGGTTCTGATTCGTAAACAGATGACATGTCTTTAGCTTCTTTTACAATAATGTTAGTTCTGTCTTGATATTGCTGATTTAAATTTTGGAAAGCAAGCCCTAACTTTGTTTCATAAGAGGGGGTTTCAGAAAAATTATTGAATTTTTCAATATCAAACTGAGGAATGATAATTTTTATATTCTTAGTATGAGAAAATAAATCAGAAAAAAGACAATCTTTATTTTTTTGTTCTGCAACATTATTAGTTTGTTTATTTATTGTATGATTTAAATCAAGTGACTCATCGCTTGCTATATCTAAAGTATCTTCAAGATTAACATTTGGTTTATTATCATCTGGTTGATCCTGATATATATGAACCCATTGAAGGATATCTTTTCTATTATTAATACAATCTATACACACATCAAAACCACCAACAGGTGTACATAAAGAGCAGGAGTAACGTTTAGTATTGCATCTAATGTCTATACTGCAAAGGTCACACTTAGTACAGCTTAGAAGAACTAAAGATTTTAAACCAGAAAAAAAAAAAGATGCAGTTTTATCCAATGCTGTTATTCGACACACCAATTCATTGAATTTTTTTAACTGTGTTAAGTGCAATTCTCTTAGTTCTTCATTATCTTGAAACTGCAAAACTTTTGTAATAAGGTCAACGACTTGGGCTTGAATAGTGAGTTCTGCTTTTGTTCCTGAGATTTCGTCATAAATACAAAAACATTTGTAAAAATAACTATAAATAAAAATTTTAATAGAACTTATGAATAAAAATTTCAACTTCGTTAAACAGTTTTGTTCATAAACAAAAGGCACAGATAGATCAAATGATGTTGTGTGCTTCTCATTTAGGTAAGCTTGCACAATATTCATTCCTGCATTCATTTTTACAATTAAGGCATTTAATTTTACAACAAAATTTTTTTCTAAACTAAACAAGTTTAACTCAGTAAAAATCAAAATAGGAAATGAAAAGTGTTCTAGTAAATTTAATTCTTCAATAAAGTAATGTTTTATGACTTTTTTTTTAATACCTTTAACTAACTCTTTTATCAAGAATAAAACTCCATTCTCAGGTGATACTTCTTCCCACCACGATTGCAGCTGCTGTTCACAAGCCCACATCATCACTGTTTTGCATATATATGTGGGTAATGACTTTTCATGACTGTATGTTTTTACATATTGGTAAAACAATGACTTGAAAAGAAAGTAAATGTAGTTTTGTTTCTCAGTTCGATGGAGACTCAAAACAGATTCTGCTGCAGAAAAAGACAACCGCCATTCCAACCTCTCGTCGCCTTCTGGTAAAGATTTTGGCACGATATGGAAACCTTTTCTGCAAATTAATGCTACAAGTTGTGAATTGGGCCAAAACCTATTGCGTGTAATCCAGGACGAAGCCGCATCAGGCCAAAATGGTGCATAAAAGCATGGAACATTATCAATAAGAATTTCAGTTGAAATGAAGTCATTTTTTGATAAAAATAAACTCTCTTCTATTAAACTAATTGCTAAATTTAGTTCGGGTTCAATTAATTCACTAAACGTTTTTTTCAAAGCAGTTATGTTACTTAAACCTATAGTTGAAGCATGACAAATTGAACTTGCCATTAATAAAATTTCTTCCATATTGCTCTTATTGTGTGACCATGTTTGTATGAATTTTTCAAAAAACACTTTATAGTAATAATCTGGAATTAAATAAGAACCATTTTTGAAAAACGTCACAAAATGCTGTGGAAGAATAGATTTCATATCTAAACAAAACTTATATATATCATTGTGTAACTCCATAAGTATAGTTAAACACTTCACCCATTCATTTATAGTATTTGAGATACTGGCAATCTGAAATGATAAATTATTTTTACACTTGCTAATATTCTCATCCTCGTATGAAAATGAATATTCATTAGTAATCATAGAAGACATTGATTCTGATTGGTTATCTTTCTTGGTAATACTTACTCCATTGTTGAGAAAACTTTGGTCACATGAATCAGTAAAACTACATTTTCTTTTCATCAGAATTATTTGAAGTCTATTGACTTCATTTAAACACTGAATAAGGTTTTTCACAGTATTACAATTAATTTCCTCAAATTCATCAAACTTTCTATTTAAATTGTATATTTGTTTTTTATTTAAGTTGACCAACTCTATAAGACTCATTATTACATTGTCTTTAGAAAGATTTTCAGTACTGAATTTTAAAAAGGCTGAACAACCTTCTATTTTCTTTATTAATGTTTCACTGAAAATTCCTTTGATTCCTTTCACACTTATTGTTTTAAGTGGATTTTTTGTTGTGGGTTGACTGTTATGAAAAAACTCTTTAAAAACTATACTAGACAAGTACTTTTTATCTTGAAGCGGGTCAGAAGAATTAGAAATAGAAGCAATAAGTTTCTGCTCAATATCTTCTGGCAACTTTATGCATAAATTGATATCATTAGCCAAACTGTTTTTAATAACATAATGAAAAAACGCTTTATTTCGATCCACTGGTTCATAGCAAGATTCAAACTGCACTTGACTCACTGTCCCAATAACTATATTGAGATCAATTTCAAATTCAAAAATGCTTTTTAAAAATGGATTGGCTAGTCGTGCCAAAGAACTACCTTCCATTGAACTCCCTATTACAAAAGAAATAAACCATTACAAGCTTTATCAAATAAATATAATAGAAATAACAAATAATGACAAAAAGTTTTAAAGAATATATATATATATATATATATATATATATATATATATATATATATATATATATATATGTTGCAAAATTCTATATATATATATATATATATAGAATTTTGTAGCAATTCAGGTTTAAATGCTGACTTGAATCTCTAAAGATTCTGGAAATCTTTGGTTTGGCATTCAACATTCAAAGTAAAGCAAAGAGTTGTAAAAACTTAAACCTCTTTGCTTTACATTACCAATCTGAATCTCTAAGTGTTGCTATAAAATAAATGTAAAAAGTAAAATTATGTAAAATAAATAATTATTAGTAAAAAAATTATAATTAGTTAAAATGAGTTTATAACATATTAAAACAATTTTTTCTTAAAGTTTAACCATTTTATTAAAAAAAAAAAAAAATTAAATTTATTTTTTTACAAACTAATTCATTACAAGATTTGCAAGGTCATTAATTTATTCAAAAGAAAATGGCTCTCATGCTATTTAAAAAAAAAAAATTTATTCAATTATTGATAATCCTTCAGATTTTGCTAGTTGGGCATTTCCATTTCTGTGCGTGATTTTTTATTTTTCTTTGTTTTAGCAATTAAAAGCTGGGACTTAATGCAATATGCATACTATTTTGATTTTCTTAAAGAACAATTATAACAAAAATACTTTTATTATATTTTAGGTTGAATAAATTAAATATACGCATTTTTACAATTTTATTTTTTTGAGTAATAATATCGCTACATTTCGAAAAATATACAATAATTTTCAAAACGCCATACTCTAGCTAGAAATAACTGATGACAGGCGTTTCTCATTGAAAATATACTAAATATGAGTCGTAGAAGTATAATATTTCACTTCGTAGAAGTATAATATTTCACTATATAAATACTCACAAGCAATTTATTTTCATAAAAATAACTACATGAAATTGACAAATTTGCAACATCCCTGCGTGGCTTCCGTGCGTGATCATTCATAAACTGCATTTAAACAATTGCTGTGACTCTATGATTCATAGTGCAATCCTGTAACTGGAAATCTTTACTAATGTTTAAAATACTATTTAACAAAATAAGTATACCGGTGAAACTTATATTGTCCGAGGAATTAAAGTTTATTTATCTAGTAACTAAAATAGAAGTTTTTCTGTTCCGTGTGTGATTCCATTTCAAACCTTATTTATTCTTTGTTAACATTACTAATGCTTACTATTTTTTGTTTAAAAAATATTTATATTAATTAGAATTAAATGAGAGTAAATTGGAGATCGCTAGTTTTATTTTTATGAAAATAAAAGTAAAAACATATACGAGTTTCCGTGCGTGATTTTTTGGAAATGCCCAACTATGTATATATGTATATATATATATGTATATATATATATATATATATATATGTATGTATATATATATACATATATATATATATATATATATATATATATATATATATATATATATATATATATATATATATATATATATATATATATATATATATATATATATATATATTGTAAACATTAGGATAAATGGAATAGATTTTTTTAATGTTTGAGTATTATGAAGTAATGAATCTAACAATAAAGTAAATATGAACCTAATATAGAAAGAGATTTTAAAGCATAAAAAGTTCAATGGCGAAAGAGTTAAGAAACTTACAATTATAGCTATTGTTCGATATGTCAAAAAAGAATCACTACAACATCAAGAATAGATCTATTGGAGATTGCAACAGAGAAGTATTACTTAGCATTTAACTTAAAGCTTATTAACATTCTTTTTTGGCATTGAAGCAGCTTCCTCTACTCACCCCTGCTTTTGATGTGAACTGCCAAAGTATGTACATGCAGGGTTTCACAATCTGCAATCATGCAAGGTAATTAGGAATCAGTTTATCATTATTGAATTTTTTTTTTTTTTTTTTTGTAAAATTAAAATTTCATGCTGGATGTTTTAATTCTGTATTACAACCTAGATTTTTTTTTCAAGTCACTTGGTATGATAAAAGATTATGCAGAAAGGAGCTTGAGAAGCTTACAGAACAAAAAGTAAACTCTCTGCTGCAGCCTGCAATATTTGGGTCCGAAATCTTTTGCTATATTTTGCAACCAGATGATACACCTATTTAAGAAATCCTCTTTCCAATGGAACTTTACAACTTTTAAAACTTTTTAATTTTCCAATGGAATTTTCTAGAAAAAGAAACCGTTAATAAAAAATTGGTGATAAAATGTTGACTAAATCAAAAACATCAATTTCCATAAATATCTGGAATAAAGCAGTAGGGTTTGATAAACACAGTGGCCCATTCAAGGGAGGACAGTGTTTAAACCTATCGGACAAAAAAGAAACAAACAATCCAAGTATGATATTGTACCTGATAAATTACTAAAACTTATATTTTCAATGACCATACTAAATAAAAAATGTGGTAAGCGCATACACATGTTATCTAGTTATTTATGAGCCTATTTTTCTGGAATTAGTATTTGATATGGTTTCATAATCTGGAATCATAAAATTGAGAAGACGCTGCCGTTTTTGGTTTTAGGTCAGAGGCTTCATGACACTGTTCTTTTTGTCACAAACTGTATAAATCAAAACTGCTGAGATCAGTTACTTTTTACAATAGCAGACATGCACATTTCATAGGATTTTTTATAAATTTATTGTTTAATTTTATTTAATATAAAAAATAATGTAGTCAGTAAACGCAAACCGCAAACAGCAAACTGGTAAAATGCAAACTTTTTTGCAAATCAAGACATTAAATTTTAATGACATACATATCAATACAATGCTAGTTACGCGGATTTCCCCAACAATATGTTTAGAAAAGTGTTTGCTCATCAATTTTTTTATTTAAACTAAATAATAATAAATGACATTATATATATATTATTATTATTATTTGATTTTTTTTTTAATACTTTTGCTTGAAGTACATAAAATATATTGCAAATAAACAATTTACTGGCAAACCAAAAATATAAAATATTACATCATTAACAACCAATAGAACCATGGTTCGCAAAAAAAATCGCATTTTACGAGTTTGCAATTTGCATTTTGTCAACAACCTAGTTTGTCTTAAATTTGTAATTCATATATGTGAAAATATAATATATTTAAATATTAAGTCTCGATATCGTTTTAAGTGTCTTAGAAAACAATTAAACAGCTATTTAAAGTAAAAATAGTTTTCAAACAACCTTATAAAGAAATAATCCTTACACAAGTCATCAGTATGGTTTTTTAACAGTAAAATTATTTCAAAATATTTGTAAAAAAACTTCATTTTGTGTTTTTGTCCATTAACTCAGTAATTGTTATTGATATGAGAACATCAAAATACTACCAATCAAATAAATGCTGTCTGTTGTGAACATTTGTCTCTGTCAATTGGAAACATTTTGTGAAAAAAATCTTTCTAAATATGTAGTTATTTTGAGGCTAAAAGTTTTGAAAATATGTAGTATTTTTGAAATAACTCGTAATTGAATAAAATATAAATAAAGCAAAATACTGGACTTTGCATCTTTACAAAACTTTTCCTAGATGTTAATTTCTGAAAAGTGACATCATTAAAATTTCTGTAAAGTATGACGTGACTCCTCTATGGTGTGCTGAGTTTTAATGGCACAGTGGCTATTAACATGGGATAATTTAAAAATTTATAATTTATATCAACTTTGGAAACTCTAAAATATATTATTGTAAAAACTTTACCATATCAAACATTAAACATTTCAAACATCTTTAGCTTTACAAACGAAACTTTTATGCCAAGCATTACTAATAGAAGACCTTAAAATAATGGCTTTTGACAAATTTTAATTGGTTGTTTATAAAGTGGATTTATAAAGTTTATAAAGGTTTATAAAGTTTATAAATTAGAAGATACCAATATTATCAAATGAAAAAACTTTCAATACTTCACAACTGTTAGACAGAAAAGTAGTTGATTGACGTTAGATGTTAGACAGAAGATTAGACACTAGACGTTAGAAATGTAGTTAGACAGAAAAGTAGCTGAAATTGTTCTCCTATTGCAATGAAACATGAAGTTTTTTGTTTTTTTTTACACACTTAATTAAGGGTCAAGATCTTGTTCATCACATTATTTCAAACACTTCATCAACGATTGAAAAATTAGAAGACTAGGTTCATAAAAACTCTCTTTTAAAAAAAGACAAAGAGAGAAACCATTTTTATTTTTCAACTTGTGTAAAAGTAACTAAAGTTTTCACATGCTAAGTTTCATTATACTTATTTCATTTTTTTAATGAACCTACCTAATTTATAAACTATGACAAAGTTTGACAATGCCTTGTTTTGCTATATATTTTTAGTTCCAATGTTGAAATTACAACTATTTTTGTTTCATATATTTCATCACTTTCTAATCATGATATAAAAATTAAATGAAACTCTCTCACTCTCTCAACTCTATAACTTCGAAACACGAATCCTGAAAAACAAGGCCGCTGCAGGGAGAAACAATTTGAGTGTAGTACTATCAGGGATGTGATGGGGATCGAACTCGAAACCTCTTGCTTATGAAGCAAGCATTTTACCACTACATCACTACCACAATTTACTATTAACATTTAAGATTATTAACATAATTTTTTACTATCACTTTTTCTTGGTCTAATTCTTTATTTAGCTCAATTTTCTTGTTCAAACAAATATTTAATAAAAATTACTTAAAAAAAAGTTTCTAAAAAACTAGAGCATTCATTTGATGTTGAAAAAAAAAGAAGCCATTCAAGTCTAAGTAAGATTTATGCATCCATGTTACCCTTCAAAGTCATACTTCAAAAAATTGCCATTAAGAAATTGATTTAAAGTCGATCTTAACTTTCTAGTTAAATGCTCTACCAACAAAAAACGTTTAAAAATCACCTACATTTTGACATGAGAACAATTTTTACTTCTAAAAATATAAAATCTGGATTTAGATAATCAGATTTTAGATTTATATTTCAGACTGGTCACTGGTCAACTGCTTGTCACTGGTCAACTGCTTGCATTATCTTTGCCTGATGATGATGAGAATTTCCAACTGATACTCTAACTGCAAATATAACTCATATTAAAATACTGCCAAGTAGAATTATATCATTGATTTAATAGAATTATATCACCCATAAATTATGACATAAAGTTTGACAATGTCTCCTTTTACTATATATTTTAATTTCCAATGTTGCCATTACAACTATTATTTTTTAATCTAGAATTATATCACCCATTCTGATATAATTCTATTAAAGTGTAACCAGGGCTGTGGAGTCAGAGTCGGAGTTGCAGAGTTGCAACATTTTTAGCGGAGTCGGAGTCGCTAAAAAAAATCGTGACTCCGACTCCAATAGTAAAACTTCTCAGTTATTAGTAATCAAAGGCAACATATACCACTAACAATTAAAAAGTTAATCTATAATAGCCATAGATACCTCACTTACAATGGAAAAAAAAATAACAACGATAAAAACAACAATCAAGAAAAGGTTTCTACAGGAAAACAAATTTAAAAGAGTAGTATTTTAAGAAATTGCATAAGAAAATTGCATAGAAACTGTCAGATGAATCAATTGACAAATTTCATCCAATAAAAGTTCATAAAAGTATGATAAAAATTTCTTTCAACAGATGAGAACTGATGAAAAATCTGTATTTGTTGCAAAAATTGAAACAAAATTATATGACAAAGATTAAAGAGTTTACTTGTTTAACATAACACTTCTTGATTCAAATAATGAATCAAATATTTAAAAAAATACTATAAAAAAATTAACAGATCTCAAAAGTTGATTTTAAACATATTCATGTTAAAACAAACAACATGTTATTATGAATAAAAATAAGTGAAAAAATAAATATATAATTTTCTTATTATTTAAAGTAGCAATTTTTTTAAATTCGCTTTATTATTTCATTATTGAAATAAATAATTAAATTAGCTTCATTGACTCAAAAAAATTACAAAAATTTGTCATGCAGGTTTTGAGTAATGAACAATTAAATGGTGCTGAAATAAATATCAAATTAATTTTTTTAAGTTGATATTTACTTTATATGAAACTTTTTTTTTTTTGTATATTGATAATATAATTATTCATAGCATTTAAAAAAATGCAAAAAAAAAAAAAAAAAAATATGCATCAAAGAACTAGACTGAAAATATGCATCAAAGGACTAGACCGAGCTGTCGAGCCCAAGTGAAATAAGGAAAAAATTATGAAAAGAGAAAGGTTAAAAAAGTTAAATTAAAAAGATATTATGAACAGATATTCAGAGCAAAACAAAGATATTAAAGTATATATAAATATTAAAATTATGATAATATAGACATGCATGTAATAGAAATTTTAAAATCATGACCAATACACAAAGTATAAAAATATACAAAGCTTAACGTCATATAATGTCAAAGCAGGAATTGAACCAGGAACTTATGGTTTATCAGGGCGACATTCTAACTGATCAAGACTTTGTTGTTGATAAAAAATAATAAACATTAAAAATATAATAAAATCAACAACAAAATTAAATGAAATAAAATAGTGTACAAACGAAACAATAACAAATAAAGTAAAAAAAATATTAAGACTTTGTTTACTTTGTCTTTTTCAAATCAAGTTAAGTGTATAAATAAGTTTTTTATATGAAACATGTTTCATGCTCACAAGATTGTTTTCAAGTCAAGTCAAGTCACTTTACAAAAAAAGTTTCACTGTTCTTTTAAAACAATTATTGAACACATTTAATTTTAAAGCCAAACATATCTAAAAAAAATTTAAATCATTTTTCAAGAAAGTATTAAAATTATAAAAATGAAAAAAATTAAAAACTTTTTAAAAGTTAATTTATATTTTTAAATTTTATTTTAAAAAAGTTAATTTTTATAATTAATTAAATAGGAATTTATTTAAAATTAATCATTTAAGCGTTGGAGTTATTTTAAATATAACTCAAGTTTAATTAAAATAAATTTTTGAACTCGACCAACTTTGTTCATATATCTTAGTAAAATTTTAAAAAAATATCTTACCAATGTAAAGTAAATAAAAACATAAGAAAAAAACCTTGCAGAAGGATAGGAACAGTTTGTAACAACAATGTTTCATCATATATTGTTTTCCATTTATTCTCTATTTCATCAAAAACATTACTGCTTTCATTGCAAAAACTTTTATTTTCTTCAGATACTTCATTGATTTCATTATTGTTGCTGATTAAACCTTAATGAATTAAAAATAAATACTTTAGATAAATGCGGTTTTCTATATGATTACTAACTTGGGTGTTTCATATTTTATCAATCTTTTTTTTCATATTTTTTAGAACTTGAACCTCAACTTAGACTATAGATACTTGATGAATTGGAACAAAAAGTTTTTTTTTCCAAAGTTTTCAATTTCAGGAAAAATAATAATAATAATTTTACAGAATTCAAATTTATAAAGAACTGACTTTATTTGTTAAAAGCTTAACGAAACATCAAAACAATAAAAATTTATTCATGTATTTTCCTATATGATACTTACATATTTACAAACTATGTAGATATGTGAAAGTGGTACGAATATTATGTACTACATTAGATGTAATTTTATTATGTAATATGTTAATAATATATAACATACTAATAATATGTAACATACTTATATATTTGTTTTTTCAACTTTAAATTTTTAACTTCAACTTTAAATTATTCCTGTTGTATTGCTGTGAATATTTTTAAAGAAAAAAACAAAAAAATAAAAAAAAGTTCAATATTTTATCATCCAATAAAGTGACAGTTAAAAATTATATTTTTTTTTTTTTACTTTTTTATTTATATTATTTATATTCTTTTTATTTATATATTCTTTTCTTTGATAAAAAATATTATTAGCTCATTAGTCACTATTCATTCATTTATTCATACATTCATTCATTGAGCCACTATTCATTTATTCATTCATTCACTAAGTCTAATACAACATTAATAGATCTTTCAGAAGTGTCCTTAGCTACTTCAAGATTAGCCGCAAATTAGGAAAAAGTCTTGAACTGGTCACACTCTCAGACTATTTAACACAACTTTATTATTCAGTTAAGTGAGGTTACGAACTAAATATAAACTAAGAGTTTTCTCTCACTAATTGTGCAATACTTGGTAATTTTTATAGCTTAAACTTTTCTTGCTTAAAGTTAAAAGATTTTTAAAGTTAACAAATTTCTCTGAATGCCTGAACAGTTTCAAAACTTGTTTTAAAAAACCTTGTTTTAAAAAAACCATGTTTGCAACATTTTTTCTTTCTAGCCTTCTTGCTTTGGTAGAGCAAGCGAAACCAAAGTTTCATCAAGGTACTGTGCTATAACATATTCTTCTATATCTCAAAAGACGCAGACGCAGCAAGATAAAGCAACAATAGAGTATCATTAAAAAAGTTTTTATTTTTTTTCAACATCTTCACTTCCAACAAGGCTAAAAACAACCACTATTAGAGTTGGAAGTTATTGGAAGAGAAAAGATGAAGTTTATAGAGTAAGATAACATTTGATAGACAACTTAAAAGATTGCATATTAAATGAATCAGGAAAGCAAGACGAAGGTACCGAATTCTAAAAAACTGATGTTCAAGGAAAAAAAACTAGACAAATAAGAATATTTTGAGCACCTAGGAACAGTCACAGTAAAAGGTTGAGACTTAACTGAATGACAAGTAACACAAGAATAAATTTTAGTAGGTGGCACAAGAGATGCTTTTTAGAGTAGCACCCATTATAGTATTTATAGAAAAAAGAAAGAGAAGCAAAATAACAACAATGTGATAATGGTTGGAGGTTGGCTGCAAGATTATGTTCAATTATGCAATTGTAAACTATGTTTACAATGCATTTTTGAACATAATATAGGAATATTTAAATTATTGCAATAACGATTGGCTGAAAAAAAATTGAGTTTTTATCTGAATTAAAGTCCACCAGCCACTGAAAGTCCCATGCTGTAGTTGAAGTTAGATCCTTTTCAACCCCCCCCCCCCTCCAAGAGAGAGGCTTCTTATCAAGACAAGAATAAATGGTAGTATCATCAGCAAACAATAACACCTTAGATATGAGTATGGAAGATCGTTAATATAAATTAAAAAGAGTATAGGGCCAAGATAGAACCTTGAAGAACCCCTAAAACTTCATAGTGTTATAAACCAGACGGAATAAAAAATTGATAAATTTTGGCCATTGCCTGCACTTCTTTTTTTGGATTATATGTCAATTACCAATATTGGTACATCGCTGTGGTAGAGCGCTTGCCTAATAAGCAAGAAGTCCTTTATGAAAGCTGCAAGCTCAATATCTGAATCTTAATATAGTATATAGCCTTGGACATAAAACCTGCATGAGAGCTTAAGTTTGAGTTTAAAAAATTAATTCAGGACATATTTGCATCAGAGTCAGTCTCAATAGCTCTTTGTAATCTCCTGTGATTTTCCTTAAGAGTCATCTTGCAAAATTTTACTGTGTCTTGTGTAGAGATTTTTAAGAAAGTGTTAGCAATAGATTGGGTTTTAAAATAGGTTCATATTTAATAAACTTTGATGAGTTAATGCTACTTTTAATATCATCCAGTTGGAACTGTTTGAAAATTAAATTTTCTGATTATAAAAATAATAACTTAAAAAAATTGAAAATAAAAATGACATATTTACAAAACTTTTGAATTGAAAGTTAAAAACTGTATTTGTTGCAAAGGTTTTGTATCAGTGTTCTTCTTTAAATAAATACAACCTTTAATATAAATAAACAGGCTTAACATTAGTATATACGCATAATATTAGTATATTGCACCTTTTGAGTTTTGTAACTTTAGCTATTTGAAATAGAACTTAAAAAAATATTTGAGATGACTAGTTATTATAAGTAATGCAGTTTTAAATACTCGTCTTTTAAATACAGTTTTAAATACTTTGTATCAAGATTAAAAAGTAGTTGTTAATTTTATTAACAACTGCTTTTTTTTTAAGTTTTATAAAGTTTAATTTCAGGTTTACTTCAATTTATTGCACCCTGATGTTGATTAAGTCTATTAAGGATTACTATTAAGGATTACTTTACTCCAGGTTAGCCCATGGATCAAAGATTTAACATACCACCAAGTAATAAAATACAATTTTGTAAAGCAAAAATTTTGCTTTTTTTACTAGCCTCTGAAGATCCTGTAGCAGACTTCTTAGTTTTGACAACATGTTCTTTTTCTGTGATTAATATTTTATCTAATATATACCATTTAAAAATTAAAAAATTTTTTTTTTATAAATTTTAAGGTCTCCGTCAAAACTAATGAAACACCCAACACACTTGGCCCAAAATCAATAGAGACCCTAAAAATCATTGAAAAATTTTTTTGAACAAAAAAGTGTTTTTTGCAAAGCTAACTTTGATAGATAATTTTTAAAAAGAAAAAAAAGTTTTCATCATTTTTATTTTCAAAATTTTATTAAAAGTTATATTATAAATTCCCAACTAAAAAAAGTTCACTTAAAAACCAGTCCAAATACGACAACAGTTATCCATACAGGGACAAATTAGTAAGTGACTGGGGCCCCAGATAAAAATAAGATTATTTTAGCAGGGGTTGATAGCAGGGGCTAGAAAAAAATTTATAATACTTTATATACTATAATTTTATGCTTACATATACTATTTATGAAATACTGGCATACATTTATATATATTTAAACTCTAACTTACTTCTAACAAGATTGCAAGCAACCATTATTAAATTATGAGTTAATTTAAAATAGAGAATAAGTCAAAATAATAGGAAACCTATAACTGAAGACTTAAATAGTTTTAAGTTGTATAAAAAAAGAAAACATGAAGATGGGTAAGAGTTATAAGGTTTTTTTAATATTCAAGGAAAAAAACTGGATTAGTAAAAGCTTTTACAGCGTGAACTGAAACAGAAAAATGATGCAACTTGTTGAATAAAAAAACAAGTAAGTGAGTTTTGGTTTATCGTTAGAGATGATAGCTCGTTTAAGTATTGACCATGATTGTATTTGTAGAAAAAATACAACCTTACAACAATGGGAGAGTGCCTCAAGCTTGACATATAAAGCAGGTCTAATTACATTGAGTAAGTAATTAAATTACTTTTAGACCTTGTCTGAGAGTGAGAGGGTTGTTATTTGTCAATATAGGAATGCCAACGATATTCTTAAGATGTTCTTGTAAAAAAGATGAACAAAAATGTTTAATGTTTAATAAAGCAACTGCTCAAAATGATGAAAAATGTGGAGTAGAAAGAGGCTTGACTTTAAACTGAAAAGAAGTTCTAAACTTTTATTCCAGAAGAAATAAAAGCTTCCAAAATGCACTTTATGCATAGATATTATAGACATAAACATATATGTTTGCTATTTATTTAGATGCTGGCATACAATATTCTTTTATATTTATATAAACTTTAGTATTTAAATGGTGTAGTATTTGCCAAAAGAGAAGATGATCAGATGGATGTGTGGTGTGACTTAAGCAAGACAAGAAAAGAAGGCATAATCTTAGACAGATTCAAAAAAACATTGTATCAAACAATGTTTTTTAGAAAAGATTAAAGTAATTTAGGTATCAGCATGCAGAGAGGTAGCAGCTTCAGTAGAAAATGGTAGTGGTAGAAGAAAACTTTAAGAAAGCGTCTTATATATTGTATGAATTTAGTTAGCTTTAGTTAAGAAAAAAAATGATGATGATGATGATGATGATGATGATGATGATGATGATGATGATGATGATGATGATGATGATGATGATGATGATGATGATGATGATGATGATAATGATGACACTCCATTCAATGTTGTGTCTCTAATTTAAAAAGTATAAGTAATATACATCTCTAATATAATATGAGTACTTCCTTGTTCTTCAATAACTAGTATGTGCGAGTCAATAAGGATGTGTGACCTGAGGAAGGATTCACAAACTGCATGTATATTTAGAATAATAATAATAACAATTTGTTTTTTTTCTCCTGATAATGATGATAACACTATTTTAATAATTTGATGATGATGTAATA